TGGACTCCATGACTTGGTGTGTGTCTTCCACGTAAAGTACCTTGGAAACTTGTGGTACCGAATATGCCGCGCCCCTGCCCCCTGTCGAGCCGCGCGAGCCGGGCCATTTCCGCGCGGAGCGTTGTCTCGCGCGAACGTCCGACACCCCCGCAGGCCACGCTTCCCTTCGCTCGTGCATGACGGCCGTCCATGGGCAGAGCGCTGATTGGCGCAGGGGGGGGGGAAGGTGGACTGGGCCGTGCCGTGGTCAGGGCCGGTCTTAACAGAGCACGTTCTTGCCCACCACCACCCTTATTATATCAATTTTCTGACCTGGCGATACTCCATTGGCCCTCACCCTCGCCGTCCGTCCGACGCAAGGGCTCTCCACAAGCCCTCTGCTGGACTGTGCCGCAGAGCCCAGCTCGCAACTGGCGCCCGCGCGCATCCGCACACGCTCCGTCAACCTTCACTCGAAGCTCCGCGACCTCCGTCGCGACCTCCGTCGCGGACGGCGCTGAGCACGTGCACATTCCGACACCGGGGAATCACTCCCGCTCTGCTGACCAAATTCACTTGACTACTGTACACCATTTTGAACTGTATGTACCGTACTCTGGTGTTTTTTTTCACATTCGCGCCCACACACCCGCCTACAGCACCGCCCGCTGTCCACTTTACAATAAACAAAGGAGTGGAGAGCGGCCTTCGGCCGCTTCCCACCCCAACTTAACGCTGCCCACTTGCTGGCTCCCGAATCCCTTCCGGAAATCTACGGAAAATATGCATACAGTACTCTTGCGTCGTTTATGCACTACGGTTTCTTGCTCTCGTTCTTGTGCCTACACTATTTAACCTTGCAGCTTGCCGAACCTGATCGAATCGATTCACAAAAGGGCTCCGACTGCCTGTTCCCTTACTTCCTCATGCCTCCTAGAGTCTATTGCACCGTTGTCCTCATACAGTATCAGGACACTATTCCACCTATTTTATTCTTCACTTGCACTTTCTCGACAAGAAAGAAAGAGATACCCCCGCCACCGTACTTCACTTGACCACCGTACTAACTTGGGGACAGAAACAACTTTGTGAGAGTTGCATGTCCTGGTCGTTTTTAGATACATGTACAGTATGCCTGGAAAACATGCTTTTTTAAACCGCCTTAACACGCACTTTGCGAATCAACTGGCCTTTTTCCGACTCTCCCTGAGGAAATTTTCAGATATTGAAAATACCTGAATTTTGCGGAAGAAGATGGGACTTCATTGGTAGATGGAACCCAAGCCGAAACGCTCATTGGTGCAGCCAGCTTTTTCAGAGCACACCTAGCTTTCGAGATAAATGTGCTTGCATTCTCACGATTTTGGCACCAAACGACATGACAAAAATTACTGAAAATCAATATTTACCTGAGTACGAGATTCAGATCAAGATTCAAGCTTAGGATCCGGATTTACGAGTCCTCGGGAAGAGTACTCTCCTTTCTGTGCTTCGTCTTGATGCTTGATATCCTACCCTTGATCTGCTTGTCCGAAGAAAAGTCAACTGGCTTCTCAACGCCAGGACAGAACCTTTCCTTCATTTGAAGAAGAGCACTAGCGGGTCTAATCGACCCGCCACTGCTGCTCAGGAGCTCATCTATAGCATCTTCGTATCTCTGGGGCATGCGGATACGAGGGATTGTCGAGTGAAAATAGCCGTGGAAAGTGAACGTCGGGATTAGTAAACCAGATCCCGCTCTCTTCCGCACGCGACGAGCATTTGTCGCCCACCTCTGGGGCGAGGTACGGTGCGGAAATGAGCCGTACACTCTCGAAGCATGCCTTCAGGAAGGATAAAGGCGGTGAAGATGAGGTTGTGCAATCTCTGTTATCGCTTTCCGGTTCATAACTAAAATTACCAAATTGCCCCTTTTTCTCATTTGAGCCCCTTCTGCACGTGTGTGAAAATGTGAAATGGCTTCAAACAGGTTGTTTTCGCCCGCGTCCTTTCGTCGTCTATGGCACATGGACATCCCACTGGCTGTAGCAGACGCTTTTTGGTAGCCCAGGATAGTGCCATAAAACACTTGTTAGGCTCCGTCAAAATAATTACCAAATTGCCCCCTCGGGGAAGGGTACAGTATTCAATGCTGCTATCCTGGTGTTCTGCGAGATGGTACAGTATTGCCGAAAACAAGCACGTGAAGCAAATAGTGTCCGAAATCTATTTTAAATATTCAGTTTAATTTATATATTTTTGCAAAAAAAGCTATCCACATATCAGGACAAGCCCCGGTCGAATAGACACCAGTGCGACACCTCCCCTTTCCTCATACTCTATGCCGCTACACTGTCCCGTTTACTACTCCGTCCCCGCGCCGCGGCCTTTTTGCGCTTCGAATCCACGCCCGGCGTCCGCAGCAGCCGCCGCCGCCCTGCCCGCCGCCTCCGCACCAAGGTGCCAGCCGCGTTGCCGCGCCCGCACACACCACCTTTCCTTCAGGTCGCGGGTCCCGCCCCCCCCCCCCCCCCCGCGCCAAAACCTCCCCAAATTTTCCTGGCCCCCCTTGGCCCTTAACCCCCCAAGCCCCCGGTAC